TTTAAAGGACAATTTCGACTGTTAAAAATTTATTAAGGCTTGAAAATCTAAAAAAATTTAATTAGGACTCAATTGGATATAAGTTCATAAATTAAGACTTATATGTAAATGTCCCTACATTTTATTAAGTAATTAAAAGATAAAATAATCTATTTAATGTGTATAGTGATAAAATAATTATTACATTACACATTTTCAATTTTTTTATATTTTATTTCGTAAGCTTAGCATGTTATTTGTAAAATGCTAGTCTCCCTGCAGTCTTTTTCTATTTGAATAATACTTTGTTGCTTAAAAAAGGTGGCTCAAAATTGGCCCGAATACCCAAAACGACATCATTTTGGGTTTTTTTTTTTTTTTTTTTTTTTTTTTTTTTTTTTTTTTTTTTTCTCTTGCTTTCAAATACAAACAAAGGAAAGAGAAGAGGAGAGAGAGAAGAGAAGAGGAAGAGAGAAGATGCGATGGCGGTGATGGCGGAGGAGGAAGAGAAGGAAGATTGACAGTGATGGCGGTGTCTTTCTCTCTCACTCTGCCGGTGGGTGTTGCCCCTCTGTTTTCTCTACTTTTTTTTTTTCTTCCCCCCAATTTCCAGTAGATCTAGATTTGAGGATGAAGGGGAATTTTTTTTTTTTTTTTTGTTGATGATGATGATGTGTTGATGATGATAATGATGATGATGAAGGTGTTGTTGATGATGATGATGTGTTGATGAAGATGTTGATTCTCTCTCTCTCTCTCTGTTGATGTTGTTGAAGGTGATGATGTGTTGATTCTCTCTCTTTCTTCTTCTTCCTTCTTAACCTTTATCTTCTTCATCTTTAGAAAATTAGAAAAACAAGAAAGAAAAGGAAAAAAAAAAAAACCCAAACGACGTCGTTTGGACTCGGGCCATTCGAGCCTTCCTTTTTTCGAGCTACCAACCGGGATTGTGTTTTATTTCTAATTTTGTTACGTAGCTCGAAAATGAGCTAGCTCGAATGACTCAAGGTACCAAAATGATGTTGTTTTGACACTTTTTTTTGTTCTTCTCCCTCTTCCCTCTCTTCTTCCTTCCTCGTCTTCCTTTCAGACCCAAACCAAATTTTGAAATCATTCTGCTCTTTCATCCGACTCTGATGCAATGCAAACGAGTGAACACCTAACTCCTCTCTGACGTAAACGATGCTGGAAGCTTCTCATACGCCGAAAACTCAGGTGCTAAAATACATCACTGCGAAAAAGAATTCAACACAATTTTGCAATCAATGACCCAAGTATTTACAAATTACAACACTTTACATTACCATTACCAAATTCAGTTTATCCTCATCTTCAATCTCACCCTCTCCTAACCCAGAAACTAAAATTATTATTAAATAAATTATCTATCTAATCCATGAGAACCTAGAGAAAAACTTGAAACAGGGACATCCAGAAATGTCAAAAAGCTCTATTCCACACTTATCTACTATACAACAAGAAGCAACCTCAAAATTCATGGATTTAGGAGCAGATCACCCATCAGAATGGTCATTAGAGTTGTACCCACTAGGGGTTTCATGTGGGAATGGTCATCAGAGCCACAAATAAACAAAATCAGAACCTAAAATCAAAATCAAATCCCAAAATCAAAACCAAATCCACAGCCACAGTTGAAAATTGCTGGCCGGCCAACAGTCTAAAAAGAAGAAAAAAAAAAGAGAGATGAGAGTGATGAGAGGTGAGATCGAGCCAGAGAGAGAGAGAGAGGATCAGAGAGAGGGATGAGAGGTGAGAGTGATGAGAGCTGGCTAGAGAGAGAGAGGATCTCAGAGAGAGATGAGAGGTGAAATCGGGCCATTCGAGCCTCAGTTATTCGAGCTACGGAGCATTTTTGTTTTGGCGCCGCCATCATCGTCACAGTTTAGAGGGAAGAAGAAGAAAACCAAAGATAGAGGAGAAGATATAGAGAAAAAAGAGAAAGAAGGAGAGAGAGAGAGTCAGGCCATTCGAGCCTTAAAATGTCGAGCTACAAGGCATTTCTCGAATAAAAATGTATTACAAATAGAAAAATAATTTATTATAAAAAAAAAAATTCAATACTCCGCGTACAATGTACAATTATACTCCCCATTTTACTATTGTGAGGGCATTTCCCAAAAAAAAATTTAGGCAAAATTTGAGATTAGAAAACTTTACATTTTTATAGTTTAAATATTGACATATTGCTTCTTAATGGTTTTGAATTGATTTGTAATTGTTACGTGTATTCAACGTTCATATCATACAAGTATATGACTTCAGGTTTGTCTTTTCCTCCAAAAATAGTTTGATTAAAAAGACATATACTCATTAGTTATCAATCATCATCTTCTACATCTAAACTTTAAAAACTCTAATCCTAACTAATCAACTTCTCTCCTCCCTATCGCCTCCAGCCATCCCCATCTACCCTTCCCATCGCCGCTCCCTCTCCCATCTCTAGTCCTTGACGTCACCCCCTTTTCCCTCCCCGAACAGTCGCTATAACATGAATTTGATCTCAGTAATCATATTTTTGCTTGGTCGTTGGTTTTTACAAGTTTTGTTTTTCTTAAATGGTAGGTAGATGATGATTTTTTTTAGTAAAGGTATCCATGCTTGCAAGCTATTTCTTCTTGATTGTTTTTGTTCCTTGTTGAAGGAATTTGATCTGGTGAGGTGTCTGGGCCTTCATGCAGGGGTATTGTAAGAGTAGGAGGCTGAATTTTTCAGAGTTTGGTGGAGCATATAGCAAGTGTGATCTCCTTCAAAGGTGAATTTCCATGATGGTGTTTAGGGAGGTAAGAACAATCGAAAAAATCAAACTGATTGAACCGGACCAAACCGGTTATATCTGGTTTGTTTTTTAACAAGAATCGGTTTATACGGTTTTAAAATTTGAATTTTTTCAGTTTTCAGTTCGGTAACGGTTTAAACACCTTCTGCACCGATCTAAACCGAAACCATCAGTTTTAGCATATATTGTATTTATAATATATATATATATATATATATAATCTAATGATATTAATAAGTATAATAAATTATTAACTTTAATTAATTAACCTTATCATTATCTTTATAACATAAGTTTGTAAACTCTTATTATATATAATCTTAACTTTAACTTATTACTCTTAAAACTTTAGTATTTTTAAACTTTTTTTTTGTTTTTATTTTTGTTAATTTAGGAATTAAAAAGTATGTATTAAATGGATGGATTGGATATGTCAGAATTGTAGACAAATAACTAATTTAATATTTTTATATAGATTAATGATTATATTTAAAAGTGACTCAAGTTTGAAAATTTCTAAACCGATTAAACCGCACAAAACTGAACCGTTTCAATTGGTTCGGTTCGGTGCAGTTTGATGTAAGAAACGGTCTATATCGGTATTCAAAATAATGAAATTGACATTATCAATTCGATGTAATTTTTTACCTAAATATCTATCATACCGAATCGATTACATCCCTAATGGTGTTGCATGATCCAAATCCCTATTGCAATGAAATTGATGACTGGAGGTGGTTACTTATCCAGCAAAACTATTATTCTCAGTGACAACTTTCATTTCAATTTTAAAAATTAGAATATTTAGCCTCCGTTTGGAAAGTGGGTTGGCTTTTTGGCTTTTTGACTTTTTTAACTATTTTAGCCTAGGCTAAAAAGCTTAGTTTGGAAAGGGCTTTTTGACTTTTTAGACTTTTTTTTGTGAGAGAATAGTGTAATAATTATGGATTTGATGTGATATTTTGTTTGTTGGGCATTGATTTAGACCCCTTAAAACACCCACCCCTACAACCCCCTCACACACATGGAGGTTGGGAATTGGGTGAGAAGAAAAAAAAAAGGAAAAGTTGACCAATCAAAACTAAAGAGGGTCAAGGGGGTGACCCCCAAAGGGGGTCTCAACCTTTATTCTTTGTTTGTTATGACTAAAATAGCCTATTTTGTCTTTTGTGGCTAAAATAGCCCGAAACTAACTTGCCAAACGGAAAAAACCACCAGAAGTTAATATGTGATTAGTTAAAATCAATTGTATAATACTTGATAGAAAGAGAAAAATAATTTCAACCTTGAGGGTTGTTCTGAATAGTTGGTGGATATACTCCTCACACAATTGTTCAAGGTTCAATTCTTGGAGTCAGGCCATTAGAAAAAAATTTCTCATGAATTCCCTAGTCTCGACGTGGATGACTTACCTTTAACCGGACCGGAAAAATAATTAGTCAAAATATGCGTAAGTTAGTCTAGACACTCCTTACCGCTAAACCAAATAATAATAATAATAATAATAATAATAATAACAATGAAAACATCGAAAGAGAGAATTAGTTGAGATGCGTGTATGCTATTTTAGACACATTTTACCGCTAAACCAAAATAATAATAATAATAATAATTTTTTTTTGTGTAGGATAAAATAGCCTTTTAATAGCTAACTTTTAACGGATGTTAGAATGCAAATCAATCAAAAACCATAAGGGGACAGTCTGCTTACATTTGAATCATTATGCCAAAAATTAGAAAAAATATCATTTCGCTCCCTAAACTTTCACATGCTTTCAATTTGACTCCTACATTTTGATTAATATTAATTTTATACATAAACTTTCAAAATTTTGATCAATTTAACATTTGCCGTCCCATTCCTTCTATAATTAGACAGAATGTGCTGACGTGAGGGGTAAATTGATTTTTAAGATATAATTTGGGAGACAAATTGATTTTTAAAGTATAGTTTAGAGGATAAAATAAAATTTCTGATAAACTTTAGTGCCACATTAGCACATTCCGTCCAATTGTAGACGGAATGTGATAGTAAGAGCCAAATTAATCAAAATTTCAAAAGTTTGATTGTAAAATTGATATTAATTGAAATTTAGGGATCAAATTGAAGAATGAGTGAAATTTTGAAAGGCAAAATGTTATTTCCTCCAAAAATTATTCGTGAGAGGATGTTTGAAGAAGTTTTTGAGGGCTTATTTAGAATCACGTAAGACAAATGAGCAGATGTTCAACCACCATAAAAAAGGACATGTATATGCTCTAAATTACACCCCCATCCATGATATAATGTACATTCTCCCATTGGGAGGCAATTGAACATTCACCACTACAAAGGAAAATTAACCAGAGTTAAACCTACATGTCACTATAACTTTTGACAAAGTTGTAGTAGTTTCAGCCTTACACATTACCTATACCCTAATTCTCCACCGCTACGATGACTCCTGTTACTTTCCTAGAAGTTGGGCTGGCCACGAATCAGAAGGCGTGGGATACCTGGCATGTGGTTTACTCACATTTGTGGTAGGCTTCAATGCAGGTTGTGTAGTGTCTTGCTCTGAATAAGCTTGCGGATCAGAACAAACAGGGATGACATAGAAAGGACTTCCGTACGGTGGTGCTTGCTGTAATGCAGGTTGTTCTAAAGAAAAATGTGAAGATTCCTCGGGAGGAGGTACATTCAGGTCAGGTTTAGAGTGTACCACTCTCTCTTGTAGCTCAATTCGCAGCTTCACAATCTGAGATTCTAGTGCAGAATTCTCATCATGAAGCTCATTTTTCTCGATACTCACCTGTACATTGATATTTCAAGAAAGTTCAAATGTTCTGGCACTGAATAGAATGATACGTTGATAGATATTCAGGTTTCTCAAAAGAAGAATAAACTAGGAAAACCCAACAAAATTAAACTGCTAGATTATACATTTATATTTGAAAAAACTAGATTTAGTTAACATTACTATGTGGGTGTTAAGAGCCTTACATATTGAGATTCTGACAACAAAGCTGCATTCTCTCTTCTGAGGCCCTCAATCTGAGCATGCATCTCCTTCAAGAGTCGCGTAGTTTCCCCCAGTATCGAGGCCTTTCCATTGTTCTGCTGCAACGGTCCTACATAAGTAATTCATGAAGATACAATATTGAGCACAATCCATTTAAAATTGCCAAGGTCATCAAAGGGAAGCCAAATCTAATTTGACTGAGATGTTGGGGACAGGACAACACACCATTATGGCACTTCACATGCGTAAGGAGGCAAATCATAATTATTTAATAGTAGCACAATAAAATAAAATAAAAAGTCACCAAAATGAAAATTACCAAGGGCATTAGCCAGCGCAATGAAGAGCTCGTTCAAATGCTCACGCTTCATTTTTTCCCTCTCAGACTTGTGAATTCTTACTGGAACTTTTCCTTGATTCTTTTTGCTAGGATGGGACCTGCTGCAAGAAAAGCTTTCAAACATCTAAGCAAAATTTATACGTCCCACATAAATAGTCTACAGTACAGTGTAGCCAGAACTTTATCCTGCCAGCCAACATTATGAATCATCAGCAAAGTTCATTGCTAAACGAGGCATTACAAATTTACAAGAAATGGTACATTAGCTGACTAGGTATCCTTAATTGAACAGAGAATAAATGCCTGCTTCTTCAGAACAGTACATCCAGATTGGGCTGAATCCAGTTAAACAAAAGTGAATTGAAGAATAAATAGATGAACCAGCCAACCAAAAGTGAGACAAACGATACCAGAAAATATTACACAAATGGAAAGAGATCATCAGAAAATATAGCGAGTTACTAACTTATTATATTATATGAGCACCTCAGTGTAAACAATAACTTATTTTTATTTTATTTTATTTTTGATTGGCACTGGAGTGTCTGGATCAAAACTCGACTAATTCGCAAGGGTGCACAGGCCCTCAGTAAGGAGTTTTCCGTAAATGCACCACGGTTAATTCAAAGGTTCTCCTAGGAATTGTTAGCACTTAAGAGGTTTCGATCCCTGAACCGTGGAGGGAGTACACCCCTAAACCCAAGACCTTGCCACTAGGCCAACCCCTTGGGGCTAGTGTAAACTATAACTTGTTATATTACTAACTTACTAACTTAAATTATATGCACCCATGTTGATCACGATACTTGTGCAAGCATCCATGTCTAAAGAAACCATTCTACACACACACACACACACACTTCATTTCCAGTAACTCAAGATTTAGTTGCCACAATTTAAAGCTGAACATGTCTCCCTTGTCCGAATATGTAAGAATACACATCTAACGCCTATAGTCACATCCATATCTGAGATGCATACTAGGCCATTTGACATAGGTTACTTGGAAAACAGATAACAAGAAACCATACACAAGGAGCCATTCCAGATCACCATATGTATGCTTTATTGATTGAGATGTCATTTCAAGGGCTCCACACGAATTGCAAACTTCAAAACAATAAAGAGGCATTGTCAACATTGCGAAATGAATGGTAATTGTGTTAGCAATGAACACAAAACCAAGGACGATTCAGCATTCCATACAACCCATTGTGCCTGGCATTGACAACAGCCAATGTGGGGCTTGCATTTTCTTGTAGTGCCAGTTTTGACATTGCTTTCAACATGCCTAAATATGCTCATTTTGGGGAATTGTTCATTTTTTTAATGTCATTAAGCTCTATTGAATTCAATAGCCATATTGTTAACCTGAATTACTAATATGCCCATCTTATTAACTAGCGTTCAATGTTGTCAACCATTCTGAAACAAGTGCACCTCTAAGATTTCCTTTCTATTTTCTATTGGTAAGGGTGAATATTAATTTATAGCAAGCACATACAGATCACACCATATCAACGTGATGCAACCATCAGCTTTTTCACCAAGATTTATTATCCATGAGCATAGCAACAAAGCATTTATAATCCAAGAATCGAGCTATATAAGTGAGGTCCAAAGTAGTGATTTGAAGATATTCAAAAAAACCAAATTTAGGATCTTAAAGCACTAACCCATTTGCTGATGTCTCTGCCAACTGGCTGACCTTGTCAACCACTGGGGCAGCAGGAGCCTCCGAATCCATGCTCATCTCCTTTCCACTCTTCAGCATTAAAAAACTAGATGTCAATACTAAATTTTCTGGCAATATCTCCAACAACATACAAAAATATAAAAACACTAATAATTAAAAATATTTAAAAGTTTTGTTATCCAAGAATTGCCAGTAAACAGATCAGATCAAATAATATTCTTTTTTGCGTGATGACACAATTGAAACTAGCATAGTTTTCACGCTGGGTACTATTGTCTACATATTGGTTCCAATTATAGATTGTAGGAACCAGGCTTCTTTTTCGCAGCTCTGTTTGGCTGCCGAGAAAATGGGACAGAGAGTTGGGTGTGGTTGGAGTAATGAAGTTTTAGATCAAAAGAAAGAAAGAAAGGCCCTCAATTTTTCATGTTTCAGCAATTTCGATATGATCAAAGCAAAGCACCTAGTATAAATTAAACCAAAAGATGTTAGAAACCCTAGTAAGTTCATAATTTGGGGCTCTCAAGAACCAAAACAATGAAACAGACAAGTTTTCAACCACATTTCTTTACTGTTTTTCCATTTTTGTAGCAACAACCAAACACAAGAATTAAAAGCAACTGTCACAGAATTAAACCTTAATCAAAATTGCATGTCACCAGAAGTCAATTACCAATTACAATTAAATTAAAAAAGAAAACCAAATAGTTAAATACACATATGACAATTAAAACCCTTGATCACATAAAAGAAGTTGCAGATAGGATAAACAAGAAATGGATAGAGATGAATTACAGGTAAAAAGGGAAATAATAAGAAAACATTAATTCGAGGTCAAAAGCGTAGCAAACAGAAGTGATGATCAAAATCAACACAAATTCATGGGGCAATCAACCATGAGATTGAGGGATCAAAGGAGCTGATTGAGATTGAGAGAGAGCATTGAAATTTGGTTTGTATGGGAGAGAAAAGATACCTTTGGGGCTAGTGTTGGTACTCCGCGTCGGGAGGTGGAGGTGGAGGTGGAGGTGGTGGTGGCGGTGGCGGTGTTTTTGTTTGTTGTTTTAGAGAGAGAAAGTAGATAGAGAGAGAGACAGAGAGAGAGAGGAGGGGTGGGCGTGTGGCGGGAGTAGGGAGATTCTTAAGGGAGAGCGTGGTCAGCACCTGCCGCTTGGATGCATGGAATCGGGACACCACTTAACACGTGATCTCTTTGTGTTTTCCCCCGCGAGAAGTTATTGGTTTGCTCGAGACACGGTTAGGTGATATTTTAGAATAAAATAATGTTTGGGATCCTTTTTGGCGTAAGGATCCTCTAGAGTGGATCCTCTAGAGTGATCTCCTAAAGTGCCTGATCGGACGGCTGTGAATAAAACTCACCAAAACGACGTCGTTTTGGTGAGTTTTAATCACAACCGTCCGATCAGACACTTTAGGAGATCACTCTAGAGGATCCACTCTAGAGGATCCTTACGCTCCTTTTTGGGGGTCACCCCCTCACCCCCTTTGTCACGTGGCAGGTGGTGATTGGAGGAGCAGGAAAAAAAAGAAAAAGAAAAAGAAAAGGTGACCTGACAGAGAGAGAGGGGGTCAAAGGGGGTGGGGGAAAAAGGGGATGAATCATTGTTGTTTAGAATAACATTATATGAATTAATTAATGTATTAATTGATTATATGTCATAATTTAAGCAGTTATTGATATTTATAATTTATATAATAAATGGGGTTAATAATAATGTCATAATTAATATTAGTATATTAGTTAGTACACTAATTAATATATGTAACATCACCGAGTATTTTAATAGGTTTATTTTGAGAGGTAAATTAAAATATATTTTTTGATTATTTTAATTATTTTTAAATGAAAAAAAAATTAAAAAATTGACTTTTAATTTATTGCCAAAATAGGTCATAGTATTGTGATTGGTGAAAGAGGTATAGTCTATAATTTTGTATTGAGTAACTGGGGAACAGAAAGAGATATGATATATTGTGATTGGTGATAAATACCGTCACGTGATACCCTAAGAACATCAAATAATTTTTCCTTCCCGCACTTTGAATTTGACTTGCTTTGGATAAATTACACTTTGTACCCTATATTTTGCACCAGATCTTACTTTGATTCATTCACATGAAATTGTTGTGACAATTCTGGTCAAGCGTTAATATCTTCATGCTATTATTCTATTGTTTAAATTTTTAACATAATTTAATTATGTGACAAACATATAACTACGAAATGAAAGCAAATGAGGAAAACCACTCTCATTTCCTGCCTATACACATTTATTCTTAAAATTTATATCAAATTATGAATGTATTAAACTAAAACAAAATACAAATTGTAAATGCTTAACGAGATAAATTAAGATTTTGCATAAATTAGAAACATGAAACATGAAAATATCTCTAAGTTTTTTTGTTTTTTAACTAATTACCTTTCCAACATCATATTTCAATGAAAATTAACTCAAATAAATTAAAAATAAATCAAAATTCACAAACAAAATCAATCATTAATCACTTTACTTTGATAAGTTTCTCAATATTATTACTAATATTAAATGATCATTCCACAAATAAAAAACACACATATAAAACATCTAATTTTCTTTTGATCATCAAATGAAGGGAACATACGTTAAAAAAAAAAATAATCATAAAAATAAAAAATTAGTGATTAAATAAGTCCGGTCCATAAAACTTGTTGGTAATTATTCCATAAATGTAAGGGAACAGGGCTACAACTTGTGTGGATTCGGACAGGCTGAACTATGTCCAAACTCAACCTGAAATGCAAAGAGATCTATCTAACTTCTACCCAAGTTTAAGTTTATCTCAAGAAATTTAGATTAGGCTTGAGTTGACCGAGTTAAACACATCAAATTTGTCATCGATTGAGCAATGACTTATCAAGAAAAAATATTTCAAAAAAAGACAAACAAAAAAACACGATAGAAAACAAATTTGAATTATGCATATAAAGTAGCATAATTGATTGTAATGCAACATGATTTAAATTCATTGGTGGATTAATGATTAGTATTTTCTATATATACATATATTCCAAATATATAATTAACAAAAAAAAATTACATTGCTCTAAGTTATAACGTCTTAACTCAATTTAATTCAAATTGATAAATTTCTACTTAACTTTTGATCAAATTTAAAATTAAATTGACAGTCATAAAAAAAAATGTGGGCTAGAGTTGGATTAACTCAAGTTGGGTCCATTTGAGTTGCACCATTCTATTACACGAGGTAATAGAGATTTTATTTTAAATTTTATGATCTACAAATTCTTACAATGTTATCCTTATCATATATCTCAAAAATTACATGAAGAAAAAAATTTATAATTTAAAAATTCAAAATAAATATTATTTTATATATTTATCTGTGCATAGCACAAGGTTAATTGCTTATATATATATATATATATTGTATTATATAACTCTCACTAATTTATCTCATGGGACGAAATGTATATTGGTGTAAAATGTTGTTGATTTTCTTTACGTGCCCTCATTTTGCAATGACATATTTGTCACATAATTGGATATTAATAAAGATTTAAATGATGAAATAACATAATAGGCACTTAGTCAGTAGTACAAAGATTGACTGTCATTATTTTATGTGTAAAAATTAAAATAAAATTGGATACAAAATGCATGAATGCAATGCTACATATGCCTCATTTGGCACGGGGTGGTTTGGGATAATCTAAATAAGTGTACTTTTTGACTTTTTACGAAAAAAATATACAGAAAAGTAAAGAAGTGATGTGATGAAAAAAAGATAAAAAGTATGTACTTGCAAGTATAGAGTTAATCATTGAAACACAAAATTTGAGTTACGAGACATTTTCCATTAATAAAACACAAGTATAAGTTATTACTTTTTATTTATTTGTTTATTTTAGATTCAAATTTTTAGAAGTATAGATTTAAAATTAGTAAGGCGCAAGTCATATTTAAAATGATTGTAATTTGTAAATGTCTTTTTAAATTTTTTTTTTCTAAATATATATATATAAGCTTCTATTTTTCTACACTAAAAAAACTCTCATTCACATTTTCTCTTAATACATATATTAAATGATTTTAAAATATTAAGTTCTGCCAACCAACAAAGCTAATTTGATTGGTTAAAACTCTTACAACTTACTAGAAAATTAACGGTTTGAATCTTCTCATGTATTTGTTGGGACTTATTAATTATATTTGTATTTATACTCGTATTTGATGAGACTTATTAATCATATGTCCTATTTGATATTCATTTTGTGTATTTGCTGTTGAAACAATTCATCTTGAATTCTTCAGTTGGTGATTTTCGGGTCTTCAAAACTTGGTGATGATCTTATCTATGTAGAATAGAAATTTGGTGTTTCAAGTAGCGTTACTTATTCACTTTACTAAAGACAATATTTGTACTCACCAAAAGATGTACAGTGGGTTACAGCAAATTCGCCTCTAGGATATAATGAAACTTGATCTAAAGATCAAGTCTACCGGCGTCTACACTGACGACAGTAAATTAGAATACTGTTGATATAATCAAGAAAACTAAGACACTAATAATCAAGTGTAAAATTTGACTATTAGTAAGAAAAGTAGAAACTTGTTTAAGAAACTCTAAATCAAGAATGAGAGAGAGAGAATTGCCAGAATGCTTTCTGAATTTTTGAATGGATTGAAATGGCTGATTTCACAGCCTATGTATAGGCCTTGATGCATCTGATCGAATGGTCATGTTCCTTGATCACATTCGATCAGATTTGACTGTTGGATCGACGATCTATGGTGCAGATCATTCTCACACCGAATAGATGCCTTGACTGATCATACCTGATCACAATCAGGTGCCATCTCATTCGTACGATCATGCGCATCTCCAATCAATGACTATGATCAAACCGGGCTCTAGATCGGATACGCAACTGTTCGATCGGTTAGTTGACTCATCGCCAACGAACGCCACATCACTACCACGTGGAGCTAACTGTATTCCACGTCACTTATGTCACGTTGGATCCACTTCATTGTTGCAACCTGTCCGTGCAAAATGCACCGTCAAATGCCACACAGGCCACGCCACGTGCGCGTGTGTAGATGGCTACGGTGTGAGTGTATGAACACTAGCATCCATCCCACAATTTCATATTTAAAAAAATATTTCATGTAGCACTTTATCAAGTGCTCTATGTTTTGATCTCTTTCTAATGTGAGACAAAGTCCCCAAGCTCGTTTCAAGCTTTTCAAAAAAAAATAAGGAAAGTTTTGAAAATACCCAAAATTAAAATATAAATTTTGAAAATCATTTTAAAAATTTTCCAACATTTGCTGGGGTTACAAGTTACCGATATATAGTTACAATCTAGTGTAATTAAAGACAAACAAAGAAAAATAAAAATTGTGAAGGGCAATTTAAAAATATAAAATTTCATTTGGCATAAAGAAAAGCAAAAGTTTTAGAACACTAACTTCAGCCCTTGTTTGACATAGTAGTGTAGATATATATAATAATGTTATGCCTAACACATAATCTACCATGCAGGGCCGGCTAAGACCTGTGCTTTAGGCTTTAAAATTTTAGTCTAAAAATAAGGTTTTTAAATTTTGTAAAATATTATAGGCTTAATGTTATGTTTTTTTTTTTTTTTTTTTTAGGATTAATTTAAAGGGCCCCAAAATATTTTATTGGGTACATGTATAATTTAGTCCATATTTATTTATAAGTGTACTTTGGCCCATATTTATTAAAATGAAATATATATTTTAAAAAAAAGTATTTGAGTCCATGAAGAACAATACATACAATATATGGCCCTAATTTTTTTTTTACCTTCTTTATCTACTAGATTTTAGTGGAATAAATAATTTTGCCCTAATTTTTTTACCTAGGTCTTTATCAATTTTAATTGAATGATTTTTTTCTAATTTTTTTGTCCTAATTTTGTTTCATTAAATTGTTTTGTTTATAATTTTAATGATTATATGTGCAAGTAAATTTTTTTGTGATTACAAACAAATAAAAAAGTTGTAACTTAGGCCTCGTTTGGGAACATGCTGTTTCAGTAACTTTTTGACTTTTTGGTTAAAATATGATGT